AAGCCTGAGACTTAGAGGTAAAACCGGACGGAGTTAGCAAAAAGCCGTAAAGGGAAGGGAGGCGAGTCTGCCCCCGTTTACTGGAACGGGGCAGGTGCCCCCGGTCTTAACCCCTCAGTGGGACGCCAGGACACCTGTCCCGCTACAGTAGCTGTTACATACTGTATACCAGCTACTGTACTAAATTGGCTAATTTGTGCCATTAACCACTAATTGCTAATTACTTACCGGATGGTCGCACACGTGTGCCGGTGGCCACGGCCGGCGCCAACGGTTGTGTCACGTGTACGCCGTGGAGGTACTACTGTGCTCGCAGCGGGCGCGTGCACGATTACTACAGTAGTAACCGCCCGTCTCGGGGGTTCTCATCTCCCACCGGGGGTCGCGGTGTGGAGTTGTACCACAATGTCCTTCTCTCCCTGAACCCTGAAGTTCGCACAAAAAGGGATCCTCGCCTCGCATTCCGACCTAGCGCATTTCGAACCGCAAGCGTTATTAGAGCGACCTGAACGGGTACACTTTACATTATTTCAGGCACTCCAGGGAGCGTTTGCGCGCATGTATTGGGAGAAGCGAGAGGGGACAGACAATCTAATCCGACGGATCATACTGCAGCATCCGTCCCCCGCCGCGCCCGCTACAACTCACTCCTCCCCCCTGGTGCCGCGTCGTTCCTTTGCGCGCACCCGTCTCTCACCTCCAGAGTGTCCAGCCGCGTGTGGGCATGTATGCTCCGCCGGTACCTTGACACGCCCGTGTACGACTACTCTACTGTACCTCTTCGCTGTTCGCACTGCGGCCGTGCGATAGACGCGCGTGGTGACGACGCCGGGAACTGCAAGCATGGGTATGGTGCCGTCTATCGCCATAATATCGTCCGTAACACTCTCGCTCGCCAGGCTTTTAGCGCTGCCGGCCTCGCCTGTGACCGCGAAGTTCCCTTTCTCATACCTGGAACTGCCCTCCGCCGCGCGGACATTCTCGTACAACCGCCTTTGCCCCCCGCAGGCGCACTCCCTGACCGCCCTACAGCCTACGACGTGACGATTTGCAACCCTTACACCGCTGCTAACCTTCATCCCGCTGCTCGGTCCATCGCCGGGGCCGCTGAGGTTGACCATTCAAAAAAACTTCGCCACCGCGACCGTATTCTACGTGCTGCTCTACACCTCCAGTCCAACGCTCCGCTACCTCTATTAGACTGGCATTTCGTCCCACTTGCCTTTGATAAATTAGGCGCCTAGAGCGCCCGAACTACCGCAGTCCTCGAAGACGTCGCACACAAAATTGCCATCCGCTCTGGCTGCACGTTTGGGGTCGCCAAGACCGGCCTCTCCCAGCGCCTCAGCTTTGCCATTTGGTCCAGTGTCGGCGCTGCCACCATTGCCCGTGTACCATGTCATGGGTCGGCCCCCTCATGTCCTCCACAAGTGTGAATCCTTGACGTCCGCCCGCATGACCCTGTATCGCCCCCCCCTCACATTTGAATAAAATTACCCCCCCCGTGCACGTGTCCGTAAAGATAAATAAACTTTCTCCAGGACGCACGTGTGGCAGCCTCTCTCCCCGTGCCCCACTAACCCATCTCATTCACCTTCGTGCCTCACACGCAACACACTCTGCCTTCAAGTTGCCATATGCCTCAACACCGCTGGCACCTCCTCCCTCCCCCTGTCTTGCCCTCACCTATCTCGAGATCCGCATGCATCGATTCACAAGATGGTGACCCGAGAGAGAGGTACAGTGGTGCCTCGTTAATGAATCCGCCCTGTGTGCGCCAATGAGGTGGATTCATTACTGGAACGGATTCATTAGCGGTCACACCTGAACGGGCAGTAGAGAGGTATGATAAAATGTATGACACGGTACAGCAATGCTGCCCTCAGGGCTCTTCTCGCAGCATTTCGTGCAGTGCGCATTGCCGAACTACTGAACAGTATAATGTTATGAAGGAGTATTCAACCGTCTCCTTTTGTGCATCGGATTTATTGTAACGAGTATATACATGACGCCAGTGAGTAACTACTCAATGGCGTCAAACGACTAGTCGTTAGAAACGAATCACTTTTTGCGGAGGAAAACCATGCTAAAGATCCATAAAGGTAGGCCTGAGCTTGTTTGGAACATTGTATTCTGTAGTAGACACACTGAACGCCAACAGACCCGGACATTATGAGCAATTCAAACAAACAGCTGACCATTACGGGTACTGCCGCCCAGGAATCACGACGCGGGCAGAAACCTGGATCCAAGAAGAGAAGCTACGATGCTTCTTTCAAAAGATCGGTCCTTCAGTACTACGACGACAGTGAGAAGCGATCTCTCCTGGACACCGCGAAGCATTTTCAAATTCCTCTCGCAACAGTCAAGTCGATTTACCGAAGACGCGAGGCTCTGAGTCAGCATAAACTCGATCAAAGGAAAAGACTCAGGGAGGGAAAGTTTCCAGCTTTGGAAAAATATCTCTTGTCTTTCGTAAGACTAGCACGGACGCATCGTTTCCCTATCACTGGTGCTGTTATTATTGCAAAGGAAAGGGCGTTTCGTGGGAAGTGTGGTCTCAGTGAGGACGACTTCAGATTGAGTCGGGGTTGGCTTCACAAGTTCCTGAGGAGGTCGGGAATGCAAAGCGCTATTTGTTTGTATGGCGAGGCTGGCTCTGTCGATAGAACAGCAGTGAAGGATGAAATGATTGCGTTCTGTGTAAAGTTGGTGCGGTACCACCCTTCGCTAATCTACAATGAGGATGAATCTGCATTCATGTACCAGCTGTTGCCAAACGTCACGTATTTGGCGCCCGAGGAAGATCGAAAGGAGGCCAGAGGCGTTAAAGCAATGCGAAGCAAGAACAGACTCACATTTACAGTTTGCACAAACGCGACAGGGGACCACATTCTACCAGCTTTCGTCTTGGGAAAGCAGAAGAACCCAAGAACCTTTGCAATAGCATCCCGAGAAGACGACTTGGAAAGATGCTATCGGTCACAGAGCAACGCATGGATGACGGGTATTCTTTTCAACTACTTTGTACCTAACATATGGTATCCAGAAGTTAGAAGAATTACAAGTGATGAGGTTTGTATGGTTGTGGATAATGCCAGCTCTCATGGGCAGAACCATCCCATTTTGGAAAGCGTGGAGTACATCCAACTTCCCCCTAAAGTGACTTCTGTGTATCAACCCATGGACCACGGAATCATTCGGGCGATTAAATGCCATGCACGATCTGACCTTCTGGCACAAATTGTGTCTACTCTCGACAATCTTGAAGAGCTCCGAGCTCTCGGGGACAAGCAGAAGCCTGGAATGAAAGGCCTCAAATATGGGCACCCGGCCCATGTGTCGGATTCCATTCAATGCTTCCATAGAGCCATGGAGAAATTAACAAAAACGCTGTTGTCAATTGCTGGCTTAAATCTGGCATCCTAACTTCTCAGCAAATCAAAAATGTTTGCAAGGAAATTGACAAACAGCCACCTGTCGAGGCGGCAATGAGAGGCACATGCTCACCTGGAATTGAGGCGGGCATGCGGATGGGTGGTGGTGGGGCGACACGTGGCCCATCAATTGCCAATGAAAATGGCTCGTCGGAAAGCGACAGCACTGAAGATGGAAATGGAACTGGACTTCAGGGCGAAGAGCAGCACGCCAGATCGGGACCAAATCTGAGAGATCCTCCGGAATGGGGAGATGGTGATGTGGAGGATCTGATCAATGTGCTCACAACATCCGTGCGGGCAATGGAGAGCGTTCAGTCAAGAACAGAAATTGAATCCGCCGTTGTTGAGTGGCTCGGCGACTTGAGCTGTGGGGAGGCCAGGCCTGCGCGGATTGCAGACAGTGATCCCCAAGCAATTTTTGAGCACTTAGATGTTCTGGAGCAGGAACAGGAGGAGGTTTTGCGAGAGGAACGCGAGCAAGACGCTGTTTTGGAAAGGAAAAAAGCCGAAGAGGAAGCAAATTTATCAAGGGAAAGGTCTTACAAGGCACTTTGTTCGAACATGGAATGGATGCGGAATAATGTGGAGGAGGCCAAGTGGAGGGGTGCCAGTGAAATGATTCAAGGAAAGCTGGTCGATGTCTTGCGAGTCGCGACGGCGGAAAGAAACGCTGCTGCTCCGCAACAGAAGCAGAAAAGTATCATCGATTTTTTTAAAAAGCAGTAATAAATCAACTCTCCTCAACATACAAGTATTTGATGTGAATAGAATGTGGTCAGTTCACCTTGTTATTGAAGCCTATCGTTATCATACCTCTTATCATACGGTTTGTCATAAAAGGGTGTGTCAAGCCCCGACCCGGATTCATTACTGGAACGGATTCATTAAAGTCGGATTCATTAACGAGGCACGCACCCCTTGTAACTACAGTACAGTACTTGTACAGTATAGCCGAACTAAATCTTTCACAAGCGCCCTTCACACCTCGCATGGTTTGGTTTACAGTGCTTCGTACTCACACCTGTACACGTGGCGCATCAGAGGTGTACAGCAAGTTTTCCTGCCATGCCCATCCACTGCGGGTTCGACGGATTTGCATCGTTTCCAGATCACATTCAAGGCGCCCCATGCGTTTTAATTGGCTGGCTGCCACGCTTGATTACGAACAGCCCTCCCAGCCCTCCTACCTGAAATGCTCATACTGTGCTACACTCGTACTCGCCTCGCGGCACATGCCATTGAGATTCCGGAAAGAGAGAGGGCAGAAAAGCGCCCTCCATACCAAACAGCAGCTGGAAACACACAGAGGCTCCATACGCTGCACGACCTAGATGACGACAAGCAGTAGATAGTGAAAACGGCACACTCGAGATGATCCTCAGCGAAAAGCACAACTCCAGCCATCGTCTTGTTCTTTTCTACCGTTTTCGCAGGAGCGGGGACTATCCACAGCCAAAGACCGAGGCTTCTGTCTAGCAAAATCCAAAGGCTTTTACCTCGTCTTCCCAGGTGTGTCGTGAATCGGCAACTTCTACTTCGGTAACGAAAATACAATAAAAAATGGCGCTGCTTCGATATCGGCTCACCTCTATCCACCGGTTTCCTATAAAAAACCCCAAGCCGCAACAAACAGACCAAAACTATAACATCGCATGGTCTCAAAAAGGATGGCAAAACAAAATCTATCGTATACTCATTCTACTCGGCGACAGAAGCGACCTACTATCGGCGCTCCCTCTCTTGTTCTTTGCGCTAGGGAACACGTTCCAAAACCGCAGCGTCTCATCACCCGCGCCTGTCACAATAGTCTCGCCACTTGGCGACATTGCCAAGTAAAGCACGCGACACGAGTGCCCCATCAACGTCACCACCTTGCTCAACGTCGGGTACTTCCACACAATGATTTGGTTCTGACTATATCCATGGGTGGAGACCAACTCGTTGACATTTTTCGACCATGCCAGGTTGCAAACCTGACTCCCCGTGTCAACCTCCGCTAGCGCCGTATTTGTCATGGTATTCCAGAAGCGAATCTTCCTATCGGCCGTACCGCCGCCCGACGCGAGCAACCCGCGCGCATGCGGCGACCACGCAATGGCCTTGACGGCCGCCTTGTGGTGGCTAAACCTCAGCGTGGGTGCGTTATAATTCACGCCACTTCCGGTTGACACCGTGCCACCACCGCTGCCCAAACCCGCCGCATTCCATATCATTAGATTGTTATCGTTTCCACCCGATGCCAACTGCATATCGTCCGACGACCACTTCAACCCACAAACCTCCTGTCGATGCCCCGTCAGCTGTGCAATGTAGGGCTCCCTGCTGCGCAAGTCGCGATTGAAAATGGTCTTATCCCTACTCCCCGAGCTCAAGACGCCCGCGCTCCAGGCGAGGGCACCCGCTCTGGCAGTGTGCCCTGGCATAGAGCGAAGCAGCTTGCCCGTGGCCGTATCATAGACCTGGACATCGCCGGGCATGGTTCCAACCGCGAGCTGGGTGCCCATCTGATTCCAGGCGACGGAGCACACGGGCCCTCCGAGATGCAAGTCGCAGAGCTTCGTGACGACGCTAGTGCAGGCCGACCAGAGATAGACGCAGGGCCCGAGGCCGACGGCGAGCACGTTTTGCGAGGACCAATCGACGAGGTTGAAGTAGAAATCATCCTTGAGGGCTGGGGCGTCGAGGACTTTGAACGGGACGCGTGCGATTTTGCGCGCGGCTCGGCCGGGGGCGAGGCGGGCGGAGAGGAGGGCTCTGCGGGAATGAGAGTCGGCGAGACAGAAGGGGGATGGCGGGGTGGGCGGTTGCGAGATGGGGGTGGCGACAGTGGAGGTGGGGTGGGAGTGGGGCCGAGGGGGGGCGGAGAAGCGAAAGATGTTGGGGGGTGGGGGATAGGAATTTGGGGGAGCAGAGGCGCGTTTGAGGGAGTCGAGGGCGGGGGAGCGAGGATTGTTGCGGGGATGCGGGCGTTTGGGGAGGCGAGCGTCTGCCGGGGGGGAGGCGGCAGGAAGGGCAGAGGGGACTGGGTGGAGGGAGGGAGGGGTGTCGAGGAGCTCGGACTTGAGGAGGAGGGAATACGAGGAGGGCGGGGTGGGTGTGTTGGAGAGAGCGGGGAGATTTTCGTCGAGGGTGGGTGGGCGGAGCAGCTCGTAAGCAGAGCGGAGGTCGTCGGAGCCGGTGCGGTGGGGGATGAAGCGGTCAGAGTAGCGGGTCGGGGCGGCCGCTGTGGAGGCAGGGGCAGTGTGCGGGCGGCGGGGGAAGTGATGCATGGTGCGGATCGGAGATGGAAGAGGGTGGGCCCGTCGAGTCTCGTTGCGGGGGGGGATAGGCGGCAGGGGGGGAGAGAGTCTCCTGAGCGGAGGGGGGGGAGGGAGTAGAAGAAGGAGTGGGATGGCATCGCGGGTCGCGGCACTGGTCTGGTTGAGTAGGAGTGATGTGGCATTACAGAGGGCTACCGAGGCGGGCGAGGTGATCTGGCATGACCTGTCGGGGGCGCGGTCTTACAGTGTGGAAGGCGAATTGGAGGGAAGCGATTTGAGAGGACTGCACGTGACGGGGTAAATGTTGGGGGGGCTAGTTAGCCCGAGGCCGTGGGAGCCGGACGTGTACGACTGGCGACGTTGGCATGAATGGAGGGAGAGGCGGTGGCGAGGTTGCTGCGATGCCCAAGGCAGGCTCGGCCGGACGTGCCGCGCGAGTCACCAAGGCACTAAAAAAACCGCACCTGCACCGCGCCACCGTCACCCTCCTGCCCTGTTGCCCGAAACGGACGCAACCCCGTTCCTCTTTTCCCACGCGGACACGTGTACAGTATGTACACCGTCTTCGCCCGCAGTGGGGGTCGCGGTGCCGCTGCGAAATGCGCCGCCAAATGCGCCGAAAGGGCTTTCTGCCGTTGCTTTCCGCACCATTCACACTGTAATGCCACGGTTACCACTCACGTAGCGCCCTTCTTCCTCATTCGACAACCCATCTCATCTCGCGGAGCTCCACGTCCAACCGAAATGCAGCACATCCCAAATCATGCCGTGCCACCCCGCCACCTGTCCCAATTAACTGTCTGCGTCAGAAACACGTGTATCCAAAATCTTCCCCCGGCCCATCTGGCACACCTGGCATTTCCAAAATAACCCCTACACTTGACCTCACCGCCCGTCTCGTGCCGTGCGGTACCCTTGGGTAGTGCTCGCCCATTCCGCCGGCGATACCGTCACCAGTTGCCAACATCCACTCACACCTCGCGTCATCTCTTCCGCAATAACCGTAACTACAAATCACGTGTACAGCGATGAACTCCGCGCCGCAAGGCCCGTCGTCCGACGACGTCATGTTACGCGTGCGACGCGAGCTCCAGGAGCAGCAGATGGAGGAACTTGTATCCGAGCTAGCGGACAAGTGCTTTGCAAAGTGTGTTCCAAAGCCGGGGCGCAACCTTTCCTCGGCCGAGCAGAATTGCATCGCAAAAGCTATGGATCGCTACATGGACGTCATGACCCTTGTCTTTCAGACGGTCGCGAAAAAGGCACAAACAAGTCAATAAAACACTTCAAGTCAGAAAGACAAACTGATACGAGCACAAACACGCTCTTTTATATTTTCCTTCGTGTCCTACACTGAGACACTTTCATCTACTTGCCACACAACAAGCTTGCACAAACAACACCAACATTTCCTCAAAAATGTGTCTTGTATGCGCATGCCTGCCAACACCCCTCCCACACACCCCAAAAAAAGCACACCATCTCCCCTCATCCGCCGATAACCATTTCCGACCCGTCGCCAGGGAAAGCCTCCCTGGGGCCCTTACCCTCCAAGAAGTCCTGTCCAGACGCCTTCTTTTCCTCTTCAATTTCCTCCATCAATTCCTTAGGCAGCCTGCCCACATCCTTGATCTGTCTCTTCGTCTCTACCTGCACTGATTGCGGCTTCACCAGTCCGCTCTCCTCGTCTTCTACGTCCACCAGTTCCGGCACGATCAAGTTCTCCGCCTCTGCAGGTTGAACCTCGATCACCCTTGGAACTGGCGCCGGCAGCGGCATCGTCACACTCGACCCAGACTGCGCCTGCGCCTTTGCTACCTCCTGCTGCTGCATATCCATAAATCCACTAATGCTCACTCCCGGCGTTAGCGCAGGCTTCTCCCGTTCAGCTTCCAGCACCGAAACCTTGCGCTCCAGGTCTACAATCAACTGCTTGACCCTCTCCAGTTGCTTTTCCTTCTTCCCGATCACCACTGCCGGGCGACGCGTTGGGCCATTGATATTGTCCACCCCGGACGGACCCCACGAACCTGCCTTCGCGCCAATGTACTCACCCGCGAACACAGACACTTTGCCAGAGCCATAGTTGCTTCCATACAGCTGCGTAATGTTCATGTCCTGTGCCATGGCCTTGAATGGGTTGGCGTAATCGCGGAAGCCGCTCAACTTCTCATACGCCTCGTTGAGCTCGATCTGCAGCTGGTAGGCCTTTGCAGCTGCAATTTCGAGTTCGTTCCTAAAGCGCTCAAGCGACGCATCGGGCAGGTCATACTTCTTCGACTGGTGCTCCGAGTTGGGGATGGCCGGAAGTCCATCGACGACTGAAAACGCCGAGGTCGGCACGTTGGCGGCGAGCGAGGTGACAAGCATCTGCGGCTTGCACTTGTCCGAGCCGGCAAAGCCACCCTCGATGGTGCACATGCGGTTGAACTGGTTGATGGGCGCGTACGTGCCGCGAAAGCGAGTGTAGGGCATAACATCCTCGCCAAAGACGTCGTCATACTCCGGGTCATCAAAGTACGAGTCGATCTCCGCGTCGAAGCCACCGGCAGCGAAGATCTTGAAGTGCTTGGAATACTCGACCTGGTTGAGCGGGGCGCGGCCGAGTATGTGCTTAAAGTTGAGCTCGATGAAGCGGTACTGCGAGACCGAGTCGAAGAAGCGCTGGCGGTAGGTCTGTGACTTGGCGGCAGCGCGCAGAAACTCCTTTGCGGTGATCTGGTCGCAGCGGTATTGCGACTCTGCGTTGTAGAACTGGGCGCGCTCCTCCTCCATGAGGTAGGCGTTGCCGAAGAGCTGGCGCAGGCCGGCGGCGGTGGCAACGTCCTTCTCCTCGGGGTTGAGGTTCTGCGGGAGCGGCGTGAACAGGTCGCGCGTGATGGTGTACGGGTCGATGGAGACGCGGTCCAGGCCGCCGGAGTAGGTCTGGAACTCGACGTTCATGGCCGGGGCGCGGCGCGTGGGGCGCGGGGCGGGCGCGGGCGGCGTGGACGTACGCGTGAGCGAGATGGCGCCCGCGAGCGAGGGAGCGCGGACGGAGGGCGCGACGGGGGCGGCGGAGACGAAGGCCATGTTGAAATGCGGCATGCAGGGGCGCGGGAAGGATGCACGGGTGGCGGGCGATGGGGCAATGGGAAGGTTTTGGGTTGGATGGGGAATGCGGAGGAGGTGAAGCGGGGGGGAGGTGAGGCGGGGGAGGTGAGGCGGAGGAGGGGGAAGGACGGAAAAAACCCTCTACCGCATAGGTGCCCGCTCGCCTTTGGCAGGCTGCATATCCAGAGTTCACAGACTCCAGATCTCCCGAGCTCACCAATCGCGAGGCAGCATCCGAATATGCCGCTGTAAGAAGTGTAAGTAAATATTTTGTAGTATTACACGTGGGCGACAAGGCGTACCTGTACAACGTGTCCACGACTAGCGTCAAGTCTCGCCCGGATTTCTCCTCCCAACCGGCAACAGGACGACGATCCACCAGCACCAGCCGCCGCCCACGTCTCCCAACATCTCCCTAACATTGTCCTTGAGGCCGCGATTGAAGGGGCCGCCCCACCTGCCCCACTCGGGGGGCGCCTTGCCCGCCCTGCGCACGTGCAGGTTCTCGAGCCACTCGATGGTGGTCTGGCCGGTGGCGACGAGGTATGCGTGCCACGCGGCGAGGACGCCGACGGCGACGGCGACGGCGGCGGCGGCGACGCCCGCGAAGAAGAGGGCGTCCGCGGCGCGCGGGGTGGGGGCGAGGGCGGC